TATCGGACCACTTAAGGTCGTCCGATCAAAAATAAAATGACCCCAAGTAGGGTAACAACCGGACCACTTAAGGTTGCCCGGTATCGGACCACTTAAGGTCGTCCGACAAAAATAAAATGACCCCAAGTAGGGTAACAATCGGACCACTTAAGGTTGCCCGGTATCGGACCACTTAAGGTCGTCCGATCAAAAATAAAATGACCCCAAGTAGGGTAACAACCGGACCACTTAAGGTTGCCCGGTATCGGACCACTTAAGGTCGTCCGATAAAAAATAAAATAACCCCAAGTAGGGTAACGACCGGACCACTTAAGGTTGTCCGATAAAGATCGAAGCGGCATGAAGATATTAAGCAACGGAAACATAGAATAGCACACTTAGTTCATTTTCCATACATAGGGAAATCACACGAATACCCAAACCCTACAGGGAGTAAACCATCCCCGGGCTCGGAACACACCAACATTCAGAAATACAAATTAAAATAAGTTGTCCAAAACAGCAAGCAACATACGCAAACATACTTAAAGTAAAAATAGAAATAGCAACTAGAAAGCGGTTGAAAGTCAAACGGGGGGTGGCTGTCCGTTCCCAGCATCCTCATCATTCTCGCCCGTTCCTTTGCCTTGGCGGTCGGGAGGGTGGCTCGGACCGGCCCCGATCGTATCCGCTGCGGATTTGGAAAAGATGGAGTCCATCAGGCGACTGTCATAGGTTTTCTCATCGTCATCCGCGATCACGGCCGAAATCTTTATCTCCTCGGGCAGAGCCAGCCGCTCGAATTTGATATCACGAATAGCCTCGAGGTCCATCAGAGTCTTCCCTCCATCCTTCATCGCATGGATTACCCAGTTCAGTTCGAGCGCCGCGTTCAAGTCCATGTCGGCCAGGAATTTGTCCGTCTTGTTATACTCTTGCAACCCAACCGAACGGCCCTTCTCGAAGCTGTCTTCATACGAGCCGCGGGATTGTCCCGCTCCCTCCAACTCGGACCGGAGTCGCTCTTGTTCGGCCAGCGCCGTGTCCCTTTCCCGTTCGGCCGCAGCAAGTTTCCGGACAGCCTCCTCAGCATTCAATTTCGCCGCGGCAAGCTCCTATTCGGCCTCGGCCAGCTGTTTTTTGGCACTATCTGCCTGCTCAATCAGTCTCACTTCCTCCAATCGAACCACCTTCAGCTCACCTTCAAGTTCGACAATCTTCATCTGCAGCAGTTCGGACTTCTTGAGGTCGTCCTGGAGAGAGTGGATCCTATCCTTGCAAACGGCATGGTCGGCCGTAATCCTCGCCAGTTTGCTGCTCATACTTTTGAAGTCGGCCAGGGCCGCCGCCTGCATGCACAAAGCACGACCCAAGCTCCCCGCCGCATATTCCATCCGTTCGGTCGGAGTGAGCGCTTGAGCAGTCAATTCGGCCGGGAGATCCCAACTCATCAAGGGCGCCAGGGCAGCATCCGTCATGTGCGGGGGCCAGTTCCCGACGTTCGGCAGGAGTGGGTGTGCCACTGACTTGTAACGAACGAACTAACTGTCTGATACTTTCTTCAGGCAATCCGCTCGGGCCGCTCGGGTGGGCTCGACCCAGAGATAATTCTTTGACCCATCCTGATGAATAGGAGCGTCCATCCCCTCAAGGAAACTGCTCGGTACAACCGATGTGAAGGGGCCAACCGTCGAACCTTGCTCTTGAGTCCCCGATTGGACCGGGCGCTTAGCCTTACGAGCCTCGTCAACTTCAGCAGCCCGTTTTCGGCTCGCCAAGCGACCCCTCTGTAACGGCTGATCGTCCTCCTCACCCGAAGACTCGATAACCTCATAACCGACCTCCTGTTGAGGGGCCGGATCCTTCAATGCTGATGCCTGGGCAGCCCTCATCTTCTCAATCATCGCCAAACGGTCTATCTCGGCAGTCGATTCTCGGGATCTCTATTCTGGTTTGGAACTGGTAGTGGTCTGCTTAGCCTTCGATTTCACGGTAGTTCTCTTTGCTCCCGTGTCGGTAGCCACATCTTTCAGATTACCCAAAGGATAAAAAGCTGCAAGAAGCCGAACAGTAAGAAAAAACCGGACAATACAACCACCCAACCGAACGGTTAAAGAAAGAGGAAAACGGACAAAGGCACTTACTAGGAACACACGAAATCTCGACGTCGCCCGTACAGAGTCCAGCCTCGAACAGATTAGAATCCTCTACCAATTTGGGTCCGGCACATTCGTCCTCGCCCTTTTGCAACAACTCAGTTAACTGGAGAACGAACGACTCTCTCAACTCAGGGATGAGCGAAGGGTTGGCTGAAACAACGAACTTGACATGTTAGGTCGGACAAAAAATAACTGAAAATTAGGAGAAACCAACGAGAAAAAGAAAGCATAAACTCACAAATCTTTGCGACGAATCTCGTCGGAACAGTTAAAAATTCAGAAGCTCCCGGATCATCCGGAGACTTTCGTGTCTGCCAGCCGCGTCCGACCCAAAACCACGAAGACTTGAATTTGCTGATCGTCTCCGGGACTTTGGTGATGAGATCCCTAAATCTCGGATGCCGAACGGATATAGAAAACTGTCCGGATTTTTTTCTCGTCTCTTTCATCAGGAACAGCGCACGAATGTCATCTGGTGTCGGCATCTCCCAACCTTGTTGACTGAACAATACGAGCAGACTAATGATTTTCAGCTAGGCGATCGGAGAAACCTGGCTAAAACCGACCCCCCAGTCTCTCTTGTATTCGGTTAGGATATGAGGGAGCGGGAAACGGACCCCGAAAGCAACCGAATGCTCGAACACGCCAATATAACCGGGTGGCGGACAGTGAACCCGTTCCCGACTGTAGGGCGCAAACATCTTGATGTCACTAGGGAGCCGGATGGATGTTCGGACCTTGACCACCTTATCGTCCGTCATGTCGCTGGGGATGTGAGCCAGTCCGAAGACACTCGTTGACGGCCATTCGCGGTACGGACGACGCCAGTATCCGCTTGGAACGGACACGACTTCTTGTTCTATCTGGTGATCCTCATCCGGACTCTCTATTTGAAGCTGGAGTCTTATCCTGCCCGTCGTGTCACCTTGAAGGGCTTCCTCGTATTGCTTCTCGTTGTAACTTTTAAACGTAGACGAAGCCTCGGCACTCATATTGACTAACAGGTAAGAGAAATAAGGAGAAGAAGAAAAAAAATTACCTTCCAGTGGATATTAGACCACAGGTAAGGGAAAGTCGAACGGATGCACGGGTCGATCGGTTCGAAGAATAGGGAGAAGCCAGAGTAATTTTGAATGAGAAGAATAGTGTGGGATTTTTCGAAAGGGGAGAAGACATATTTATACTGTCTAGAAAGGGAATGAAGAGACACAATGATTAAGGTACGATACAACGTGTCAGACGAAGCGATTCACATACGCCATTCATACAGGGGCTCCCAATAAGAAGACGACACGTGTGAAATAGAAGTTACTCTGGAAATCGTCGAAAAGGGAGACGCGCCCTTTGGGGAGAAGGTAACCGTCACTGAAGATACGCGCCTGTTGGAATTAGAGGACGACCGGTCAGAAGAAAAGAAGGAAGCGGAGACGTTCGGTTCGTTAGGAATATGCAGATCCGGGCATTACGACCGGAGATTATGCCTAACGTGATGCCCGAATCAGGGGGCCTTTGTTGGTGGTGCAGACCGAACGAATAGCGCCAAGGAAAAAAAAGGAAACCGGATAAGCGAGATCTGTTTAATCATTACAAGAGCTAGTCGTACTGCGCGCATTAAATGCGGAGATACATAAAAATCTCTTATCCGACGGCAAAGGAAAAATGGGGACGCGTGGCACGATCCGGACGACTCTCAGATATTGGGAAAAGATTGTCAAGTACAATTAGCATTAAATGCTGAATGACTAATATCTAAAAATATCCTGTAAAAGGAAATATAAAAATCCCCAAGAGGGAAATGTAAAGTCCCTAAACTTCCTATAAAAGGGAGGGGAGGACATCATTTAATGCAATGAGTAAATGCTCTCATTAATTACTCTATAAGTCACGGATAGCTTGAGCATTCGGACCAATAAATTAAACTGAATCACATACATAAATACTATTCGTGCAGACCGAACAGAGTACACATCTTAGTGTGCAGTTCGAACACATTGTTGGTCATTTTTAGACATCAACAATTATTTTGTGTATTTGCAAGAGAGTGACTACAATATTGGAGCTGAAAATGATCCTGAGACGTTTTCACAAGCTATAAGTTCGAATCAATCAAACTTATGGTATAATGCCATGAAAGAAGAGATGGATTCTATGGCATCAAACAAAGTCTGGAATCTTATTGAGTTGCCTAAAGGTGTGAAACATATTGGTTGTAAATGGGTTTTCAAAACCAAGAAAGATTCACAAGGCAACATTGAAAGATATAAAGAAGACTTGTTGCAAAAGGATTCACTCAAAGAGAAGGAATTGATTACACGGAGACATTTTCTCCAGTATCTAAGAAAGATTCTCTTCGAGTTATTATGGCATTAGTAGCTCATTTTGATTTTGAGTTACATCAAATGGATGTGAAGACGACATTCCTTAATGGTGATTTACTAGAGGATGTTTATATGAAACAACCTGAAGGATTTTCTTCTAGTAAGGGTGAGCATTTAGTTTGCAAGCTTAATAAATCAATATATGGGCTGAAACAAGCCTCCCGACAGTGGTATTTTAAGTTCCATGAAGTTATCACTTCATTAGGTTTTGAAGAAAACATCATGGATCAATGTATATACCAGAAAGTTAGTGGAAGCAAGATATGTTTTCTAGTTTTAAAAGTTGATGATATACTACTTGCAACTAATGATAAGGGTATGTTATATGAGGTGAAACAATTTCTCTCTAAAAGCTTTGATATGAAAGATATGGGTGATGCGTCTTATGTCATTGGCATAAAGATTGATAGGGACAAATCTCGAGGCATTTTAGGTTTATCTCAAGAAGCCTATATTAATATAGTTTTAGAGAGATTTCATATAAAAGATTGTTCACCAAGCGTAGCCCCAATTGTAAAGGGTGATAGATTCAATTTGAATCAATGTCCGAAGAATGAGCTCGAACGTGAACAAATGAAATCCATTCCATATGCTTCAGCTGTTGGAAGCATTATGTATGCTCAGGTCTGTACCAGACCAGACATTTCATTTGTTGTTGGGATGTTAGGAAGATATCAGAGTAATCCAGGTATTGACCATTGGAGAGCTGCAAAAAAGGTGCTGAGGTACCTTCAAGGGACAAAAGATTATATGCTCATGTATAGACGAACTGAAAATTTGGAGGTGACTGGTTACTCAGATTCTGACTTTGTTGGCTGCATTGATTCACGAAAATCCACATCTGGATATATTTTCATGTTGGCCAGCGGAGCTATTTCTTGGAGAAGTGCCAAACAAACCTTGACCGCTACTTCAACAATGGAAGCGGAGTTCGTATCGTTTTTGAAGCTACTAGTCATGGTGTATGGTTAAAGAGTTTCATATCTGGGCTTAGAATTGTTGATTCTATATCTAAGCCATTGAGACCACATTGTGATAATTCATCCGCGATATTCATGGCAAAGAATAATAAAAGTAGAAGTCGAAGTAAACACATCGACATCAAGTACTTAGCCGTGAGGGAACGTGTGAAAGAAGAAAAAGTGGTCATTGAGCACATTAGCACTGAATTAATGATTGCTGATCCTTTGACTAAGGGCATGCCACCTAAGAATTTTAAGGATCATGTAGTACCAATGGGACTCACTTCTAGTATGTAACATTTGGTTGTACGTACATTTGTTGTTACTTGTTACATTATAAATTTTATGGATATTTTCTCACTTAATTTGTGCACATTTATCTTGAGAATTATCATTTATGTTTGGACCTAGAATAAACATTGGGTTTATTCATTAAGTTAGAAGGCAGTTTGATGGATCATAGTGCATTGTAATACATGGAAGATACTATTCAATTTTAGAAGACATATCGCTATGATTCGTGTTCTTTGTATTCTATTATT